CTCCTCCTCCCTCCTCCTCCCTCCTCCTTCTCCTCCCTCCTCCTCCAACTCCTCGTTCAAAGTGCCCGCGTCGCCCCGTCGATGCGGCGGGCCGCCAGCTCGGCGGCCGAGGGCGCCTTCGCGCTCCTCCGTCTGGGCCCTGACTGGCCATCTCAAGCATCGGCAGTCGGGGCATAGGCCGAGAGGAAGCAAAAGAGGTCGGCGCGGAGGGGCGCCCACGGGGCGCGCGAACCCTGGGTTTCGATGAAGCCCTGCAGGCTCTCGGCCAGGTCCCCGCCGACGGCGAGAGCGCATGGGTCGAGGAGCTTCTTGCGCATCACTGGCGCCCAGGTCGTACACGAAGGCTTCTTACTCGTTGTGATGAGCCACGGCACGTATTCGAAGGGCAACCACATCATTGATTTCTCGGTGAGGTGAGCGACGATCGCCTTCTGGGCCATGGCCTTCTTGGCGTCGGCAGGCGACCTGGCGACCAGCCCGAGGTCGTCTCGAATATACTCTTGGAGCTGAGGCCTTTGCTGGGCAACTCGGTCAAGGGGAGGGCGATCGCAGGCGCCGAACCCTCGAGCTGATAGAAGAAGCCCGCGACGCCACTCATGGGAAATATTGGGTGACTTGTCATGGGAGCTCCCAGTAATCATGTTGCTCTCATTTAAGGCCTGATAAAGGCCTAATAAGCCGCGTTGCGGCGCACGTCGCGCCATTGTTCGCGCCCGACGCCGTTCCGCATGGCGGGGTCGGCGCGCGCCTTGATGCGCCGTAAACAAACGCACGTTTCACATGGCACTGACGCGGCGTTGGCCACGCCGCACCTCTTGCGCGCATGCGCACAAGAACAGCGAAACATATGTCCTCCGAACGTGGCCGAAATAATCAATCGCCCCGAGGTGCGCAGCACAGACATGCGTCGTCTTTGTGCCGACGCAGCCGCGTAGGGCGCCGCCGCCCGCCATAAAAGCACAACAAAGGCACAAGGGGCCACCTCGTCGGTAACTCGTTGCCCAGCCAGGTCGACATGGCGCGTTGGGTACCAGAAGGCAAACCCGTCGACCCGACTGGCACGGCGCACCGAAGAGCACGAAGATGGACACGTGGTCCAGCCATAATCACCCCTTGGAGAAGGAGGAGGAGGACGAGGCGGAGGAAGGGGAGGAGGAGGAGGAGGAGGAGGAGGAGGAGGAGGAGGAGGAGGAGGGGGAGAGGGAGGAGGAGGACGACGAGGAGGAGGGGGAAGGAGAAGAGGAGGAGGAGGAGGAGGAGAGAGGAGGAGGAGGAGGAAGGAGGAGGAGGGGGCGGAGGAGGAGGACGGAGGGGAGGAGGAGGAGGAGGAGGAAAAGGAGGAGGGGGGGGAGGAGGAGGAGGAGGGGGAGGACGAAGAGGCGGAGGAGGCGGCGGAGGAGGAGGGGGAGGAGGCGGCGGCGGAATCGCGCGGCAGCGCTGCGCGTTTTTTTTTTTTTTTTTTTTTTTTTTTTTTTTTTTTTTTTTTTTTTTTTTTTTTTTTTTTTTTTTTTTTCTTTCATGCCACTGGCATCGCACGTTGCTCGCGACGCTCAAATGATGGTGCCCTTTTTGCAAGGGTTGCACCGCCGCCGCTGCCCGTTCTCCTCGACTCCGTTGCGCGCCATCGGCTGCGTGCAAAACGGGCAAGGCGGCGCCGCTTCCTCGCCCGCGGAGCCCTTGGCGCCGCGAGGGGGCAAGACCGACGGGCGCCAGGCTCGCTCCCACGGGTGCGACTCCGCCTCTGGCACGAATAGGCATCTGCTCTGGCAAACGACTCTCTCCCAGGAAAAGAAAGACATATGAGTCATGCACAGAGACACTTGCACGTCAAGGACGCCAGGCAAGAAACGCGCTGGGCGGCCGAGGCGGTGGGCCAAACCAGCCCGGCGCACAAGCTGCCCCACGAGCGCTTTCGCCATGGGCGAGGTTGATGTCATAAAAGTGAGCACGTGGGAATAAAAGCCGTGGATCAGAACGCTCCTGCGGCTCGAGCTCGTGGCCGTCTCGTCACACAGCGATGACAAAATATTCATGGGCCCGGACCCCGAGGGAACATGACCATCGTACTCGACGAGCCGAACCACGTGATCTGCCAAAGAGGGGGCCCGCGACAACTGGCCTAAATCCTGCGCCGCGAACTTGGAGAACCAAACGCCGCCGCCAGGCACATGGTCGCAAATAAATTTCCCCACCAGCTTCACCAAGTTTCCCTTTTCGGGAATAGACTTTTCAGGCTTGGAACACTCTGGCGCAAATTTAATGACGTCGGCGGTGGAGATTCTGTCAGAGAACAACAACATCGAAAAATAACGGGCTGCTCCTTCGCAGGCCTTCCCAAAAGATAACGCAGCTTGAAGCGGGGTCCGGCCTTCCTGCAGGAACAGACGCCCGTTGCCGAACACAGACACGGCATTGCCACTCTCACGGATATGCGAATTCAGAGCTTTGCGAAGATCTTGTTGGAAGGCTCCCCAGGGTTGCACTTTTCCAGATCGCTTATTCCACCGCCGTTTCACCAAGCCCCAAATGATGGCCCATGTTTCAGGCCGGGCACGAAAAACCCGCCGAATCAACAATGCGTGAATGACTATCCACCACGGGGCTTTGGTCAAACACGCCCAAGCGCCAACGTCGCGGCATATCTGAGATGATTGCCGGTCGTCTGCGAAAAGTGGACACAGCAATTAATAGTAATGTGCGTGCGGGTTGGTCGCGCTTTCAGCGCCCACATTTAAGCGAACCGATAACTGATGCAAGAAAATAAACCGCTCGTTGCCGCCAGCCTCCAAAACAGAAGGAACGGAATATAAATGCAAACGTTGCGCCCCAGTTGAATCGCGGAGCATGTGTTGTAACATATTGCAACCTCTGTGCAACATGGCAATCATTAAAAGCATCATTTTCGCGAAGAGGCCAGGCGTGTGGGAAGGTGTCCTGCCCGCGCGCCTGGCCTCTTCACGGTGTGCCTCCTATCTCTCCGCCAGTTGCTCGCCATGCGATTTCCTCGGCATTAGTTGCCAGTGGAAGGCCGAATGGCCACCTTGAGCCATAAGCCGACGGATGAGGGCGACGGCAGGGGGAGGAGGATGACGCTAAGGATGATGATGAGGAGGAGGAGGAGGAGGAGGAGGAAGAGAAGGAGGAGGAACAAGAGGAGGAGGACGAAGAGGAGGAGGAGGAGGAAGAGGAGGAGGAGGGGGGGAGGAGAGAGGAGGAAGGAGGAGGAGGAGGAGGAGGGGGAGGAGGAGGAGGAGGGAGAGGAGCAGCAGCAGGACGAACAGGAGGAGGAAGGGGGGAGTCGGATGCTATTGAGAGCGAGGAGCGGGAGCAGGACGAGGAAGGGGAGCACGATAAAAAAAACAGCAGCGGCATCAAAACAACCACCAGGAGGAGCACGGGGAGAGGATGAGGAGGAGGATGAGGAGGAGGAGGAGGAGGAGGAGGAGGAGGTG